GCATACGCAGAACTGTTTCCTGAGGACACACCTTCACTACACCATGTACACCCCTATCACACACACACACACACACACACACACACACACACGAGTTCACTTTTGTGATTGGGTGGGATGAAATAATTGTTTTTGACTTCGCAAGGTAAGTTCTCCCTTGATTGGAAGGCACATGGATGTTTGAGAGTGATGGGGAGAATGTTTCTCTCCAAGTGTGATGCAGTCTCCATTAATTGTAAAAGTCTGGAATTTTAATAGGTGCTTGTGGTTACTGTCTTTGGCTGCAATTGCTTTCTTTTCATTCTTAAAGGTTGTTCAGGCCGTTGAAAAGCAGCAGGCATATTCCCATAAAAATTCTTGAATTCAGTATTTTTTGCAGGTCCTGACTGGATCTCATCGGGATTCAGTTCAAGCACAGGGAGTTAGGGCTATGTGCACCCCAAACCTCCCTGTGATGATTCTGGCATTTCTGTTTTGCTTTAAAAAGATTGCAGGTAAACAGCATCAAGAAACTGAATTTCTTACAGGAAACATGTGCTCTGGGCATGTTGCAACAAAATCGTGCTTATGACTCCTCTTTCTAAGTATTCCGAGATCAGGAAGAATTTAACTTAATATCCTCCTTCTCTGTGTGTGTGTCAGAGCAGCTCATCTGATCACAGATTATCTCTTGATAATGTACCATAAAACAGAAATGCAGGTTTCTTGATTCTCTCATCATCTAATAAGCTAAAAAGAGTGTTATTTTATACACTTCCTTCTTTCATAACATCCTGCAGGGAATCCTTGAATGGAGGATTGTACAGATTGTACAAAATGGGGGAGACACAGTAAGCCTACATTGGGCTATCTTTTGGGATGGTCTTCAGCACAAGGTTTTCATGAAACTTTTTAGCCAAATTATAAATGTGCTGTTAAATAACTGAAATCTGACCTCCTTAGGGCTAACATTTATATTGGTTTGATAAATAATCTCCTGAGCGTTCTGTCCAACACCACCATTCTTTAAGCAATTTCTTTGTTTCTCAGTTTGCAGTTTCTCTTGGGATTTTCATTCTTTCCCCACGTCCAGGTGACTGTCATATCTATATTGCTTCTTCCTTCTGCAAAAACTGCAAGAACCAACTTCTTTTACTTAAGCAGTGTTATACACAATGATTTTTGCACTATTGAATTTGCACTTTCTCATACTGAATTTCCCTCTTTTCACTTATTTCCCAGTGTTTCTACTTAAAGTTCTCTCTCTGGTTTTTGGACTAGCTTCCTGGCACTCTTCAAAAAATACTGAGATTCTCATTCTAATACTCTCAATCTCTCTCCCTCCCACCCTAAGTTGGTGGCTGCTGTGTCTGTTGCTGGATTGCACCACTTCAGATTTCAGGGGGTACCTCTATGACTACCACCATCCTCTTCAGTGTGCCTAGATCAAATTCCTCATTTTTTTGCATGTCACTTGCTTCTTCTGCAGGTATCTCCCCAAGTTCCATTCCTTTGTTGTTGTTGTTTAGTCGTTTAGTCGTGTCCGACTCTTCGTGACCCCATGGACCAGAGCACGCCAGGCACTTCTGTCTTCCACTGCCTCCTGCACTTTGGTCAAACTCATGCTGGTAGCTTCGAGAACACTATCCAACCACCTCGTCCTCTGTCGTCCCCTTCTCCTTGTGCCCTCCATCTTTCCAAACATCAGGGTCTTTTCCAGGGAGTCTTCTCTTCTCATGAGGTGGCCAAAGTATTGGAGCCTCAGCTTCACGATCTGTCCTTCCAGTGAGCACTCAGGGCTGATTTCCTTAAGAATGGATAGGTTTGATCTTCTTGCAGTCCATGGGACTCTCAAGAGCCTCCTCCAGCACCATAATTCAAAAGCATCAATTCTTCAGCGATCAGCCTTCTTCTTTATGGTCCAGCTTTCACATCCATACATCACTACTGGGAAAGCTTATTTGAACCATCACCTTCTCTAAGCTCCAATTGCAACTTGACTCTCATTTAAGCTGTCTCATTGGCGACGGGAACAGTCTGTCATGTAATTAGTAGCTGGAAGCCCCTAAAAGCTCTCTTTCCCCAGCAACTTGGAATGAGCCAGGTATATGGAAAGCACTTAGCTCGTGAGATGCTGCGTTAGAGCTGCATCACAATTTCAAAATGTAGATCTATCTCTCTATAAAAATAGCACGCATAAATAATTATCGTTGTGGTTAATTTCATTTATTTATTCCCGGGATGTGTATCTATGCGATTTACAATGCAGTAAAAACCATGCATAGAAGAATTTCATATGTAAAAACATCTAAGACATTTGCATGTATGAAGGCAATGTTGAACAACAATTCACATATGAAATAAATGTAGATCCAGTATAGATACCAACTGGATAAATGTCTCCACCTAGAAGTCTTGTTGAATAGCCATTCCCCCACCCCATGTCAGAGCATGCTGAGAGGCTGCAAATACATTTTCTCCTAAATGTTTCACATTATAGTTTTCATTTAATGTGCTTACTATTTACCGCAAAACAGTTCAGTGTCCAGGTTCAACTGCACTCCGCATTTGTGAGTAATTGGGAACCCGTAATCCCCAGCAAACAAAGTAGTCTGCTGGCTGGTCCATAATGTTTTCACTCACTGTGAGAGAGGTATGGATTTTCTATCAGACTTTCAGTGGGAAAGTAGAATGAAGCTTAACTTTATTGATATGCTGAATAAGTTTGATATGGCTAAGGAGCACTAATGAATGGAGCGCATTAAATGCTTGTCCTAACCTTGTCCTCTCCTCCCACTAATATTTGTCACTGTGCCTTTTTATATACCGTTTCCTAACCTGTTTGCTACTTCCTTTGTCTCTATTTGAAAGTTGCTCTATTTGCATTCTCCCTTGCATTAGAAGGTGATAAGTTGATGATATGAAGCTATAGCACCATCTAGTGTTCTTGCCTTCAGTGTGATTTTCTACTTCTAGAGAAATTTTGGAGGGGTGCCCTGGACATGAAGTAGGCTACTTGTTCAAATAGCCCAAATCTGGAAGTGCAAGCCTTTTTTTCCAAAGCAGGGTTCAGTATAGTATACGTTTACCTTGACATCCTTGACACGTGACAGATTCCAGAGGACCACACATATGCACAGTAAGACAGAGACACACAGAGACTCTTGTGGAACTTCTAAAATATCAAAAGATATAAACCACAATGAATTTGTGGATTTGTTAGGTGCTTTATAAAAAATCATAATCATTTTTACTTTTGATTTCCAAGATGGGTTTTTAATCTTTTAATACAGTTTATATTTAATTGTATTGTGGTTCAGCTTAAATGCTGAATTACAATGGTAAATGAACAAAAGGCGCATTGTTAACAGTTATGTTCTTTGCTTTTATGAATAGCGTCTTGCTTCTTCAGCCTCTCCCTCCATCTGTCTGGACAGTGTAGGTTGTAGAAGTATTAGGGGATAACAAAAGCCTCTATTCTTTCTGGTGGTGCAATTTTATTTTTTTGGTGAATATGTCTTGTTATTGCACAAGAGGAACTGTGATAAAAAGCACCATTTGTTTTTCTTTCTGGGTTTGCTGTTTAACTTTTCTATTTCCTTTTGACTGGAGTAAAGATCTGTATTGGTGGAAAACAAACCCCACTAATGAGTATACCTGCATGTTATTCTGACATGTTTTTGACTTTATAATATATTGTGCATCAGTCTTTTCGAGATTATTTTTAAGTAGCTTTTATCTCAAGTGCACTGATGTGTGATATATTTCTTGGAAGGGTTTTTAAAAAAATAAAAATAAAAAAGGTCAGTTCCTATTGTAATTGCTCAATATAAAGCAGATTATAGTAACAAAGCCAGTGTTGTAAGAATGGTGGTGTCCATATGTCTCCTCACTTTGTTTTGTCAACAGATGGCCTTTCTCACTTGTCAGGTTACTGATCAGTTAATAGCAAGACCAATCTGCCTCATTCCCCCCCTCCAATGTATTGGCAGACTTCTTCCACCCTTTCCATGACAGTAGGCAGCTTTTGGCGATACAAATATCCCTTAGGAGAGGAAGACCCCCATCCTAATTTCATCTTGCCTTGTGTCAAAATAGCTGCCCAGAGTAGGGTGGGCATTACCAAAAAAAGAGATAGGAAATGCATCTCCTTAAAAAAGAACACCCTTAAAAACCCCTTTTAGCATATGCTAATATACATGTCTCTGTCCATGGAGTTTTCTTGGCAGGGATACTGGAGTGGCTTGCCAGTTCCTGCTCCAGGTGGATCACATTTAGTTAGAACTCTCCACTATGACCTGTCCGTCTTGGGTAGCCCTGCATGGCATAGCTCATAGCCTCTCTGAATTATTCAAGCCCTTCACCACGACAAGGCAGTGATCCATGAGGGAGGAGACTCTTGAGAGTCCCATGGACTGCAAGAAGATCAAACCTATCCATTCTTAAGGAAATCAGCCCTGAGTGCTCACTGGAAGGACAGATCATGAAGCTGAGGCTCCAATACTTTGGCCACCTCATGAGAAGGGAAGACTCCCTGGAAAAGACCCTGATGTTGGGAAAGATTGAGGGCACAAGGAGAAGGGGACGACAGAGGACAAGATGGTTGGACAGTGTTCTCGAAGCTACCAACATGAGTTTGACCAAACTGCGGGAAGTGGAAGACAGGAGTGCCTGGTGTGCTCTGGTCCATGGGGTCACGAAGAGTTGGACACAACTAAATGACTAAACAACAACAACAACAAATATACACGTCTCGAAACAAAATTAGAAATTGTTACTATAATTTAACTAGAAATGCAGTACATCTCACCATAGTGTGGAAGATTGTAGTGAGACGATTTGTGAGCCTGCTTGGTTTGCTGCCAAGTGCTTCAAGTCTCGCTCCTTATGACTATGTTATCTTTAAACTGCACTTAAATCAGGAAGTGCTTCAAATGCAGAATTGCTTTCTGGAAAGAAAGACGCATGGCCACCCTTGACCAAGGTCTGCTTTGGGTAGCCCATCTTAAAGTTTTTCTTTAGCTGGATAGCTCAGGTGGTTAGAGCATGGTGCTGATGATGCCCAGGTTGCAGGTTCGATCCCCGCATGGGACAGCTGCATATTTCTGCATTGCAGCGGGTTGGACTAGATGATCCTCATGGTCCCTTCCAACTCTACAATTCTATGATTCATTTTTCTACTTCTCTTTAAAAACCCTTTTACTTGTCTTTTGGAAATGATTTAATGGAAATGTTAATTCAACTACAAATCTCCTCCTCACGTGCCAGCTTGTTGAGGTGCTCTTTCCATTACTTTTTGCAAAGGATCACTATCCTCTGCAAATTACTGCACACTGTCTTAAGTGGGTAAGAGAAGTGGAGCATATCATGAAGTGCATTGTGACAGCTGATGCGTCATTGAAAAAGTGATGTTTGCATGTCACTTTCATGGTGCAAAAACGTTCCTTTTCAACTAGGCCTTTGCATGACTTGATCTTCATCCTATTCCCTTTTAAAAAATACTGGCTCTTGGGGGGGTATTGAGTTGTTGGTTTTGTTTTGATTTTATGTACAGTATTTGATATTTTATGTGAACTGCCCCGAGACCTTCAGGTATAGGGTGGTGTAGAGAATGAATGAATGAATGAATGAATAAATAAATAAATAAATAAATAAATAAATAAGGTGCCCTAGGCTTAGAACAGAGCATTACAGACTAGGAGGGAGGGTCCTGCATAACGATGGAGATTCCTGCAGCCTTGGGGCACACATCCTCCAGAAGCTGGTGAGGCCATGTTTTGCTGTGAAAAAGCAAAGCCTTCGACCTTTACGTGATACTTCGTTTCTCAAGAACTCAGAGGACCTTGTTAGTATACATAACCAGGTGGTACTTCAAGCAGAAGGGACGCAGGTGGCGCTGTGGGTTAAACCACAGAGCCTAGGGCTTGCCGATCAGAAGGTCGGCGGTTCGAATCCGCACGACGGAGTGAGCTCCTGTTGCTCGGTCCCTGCTCCTTCCAACCTAGCAGTTCGAAAGCACGTCAAAGTGCAAGTAGATAAATAGGTACCACTCCAGCGGGAAGGTAAACGGCATTTCCGTGCGCTGCTCTCGTTCGCCAGAAGCAGCTTAGGCATGCTGGCCACGTGACCCGGAAGCTGTACACTGGCTCCCTCGGCCAATAAAGCGAGATGAGCACCACAACCCCAGAGTCGGTCACGACTGGACCTAATGGTCAGGGGTCCCTTTACCTTTACTTCAAGCAGAGGTGGGGCTTCCATTAATTGTCAGGTGTACAGATCTATGTCATTCCCTACTCCTTTCTGCTGCCTTTCTGGTCCAGGATGCAACTTTTATTATAGAGGACCATTTTTGTGCCTGAATTCTGAGTCATTGAGATTACTGAGCACCAGGTGGCACTAGCTTACCCTCCTAACACAGCAGTACAGTACTAATAGCATGAGATGTTCAACAAGGGGGAAAGGTGTTCATTTAAAACATCCTGCATTTACTTTGGCTCCCCTGGTAAGCTGTTTGGTTTGGAAAGGGAGGGTTATCTCTTCTCTCTCCTGCCCCCTAATCCCAAGAAGCAACCTGCTGGCTCTAAACAGTCTTTCAAATTAAAACTTCAAAAAGTTTTAAGTCCCTTTAGGATTCTGGTTACTGGGCAGTGTTAATAGCTCTCCCCACAACGCTGTTTTAAAGGCTGTATTATTTGCAGTAGAAAACATAGCCATGGCTTTCATTGAGAATTGGCACCCATGTGCAGAATCTTGCCCCTTGTGCAGAATCTTTTTTTAATTGACTAGTGAAAGCTTCAGTGAGCATTAATGGGATGAAGGATGAATGTGATAGCAAGTACCAGAACTGATCTTTGCACAGTTCAACAAATCCGATGGCTCTTTCTTTCCTTATTAAGATAATTGGCTGTTCTCTTTGGGCTGAAAATAAGTCAAGTAAGAAGCTTTTGGTAGGTGTAATGAGCTCACGGAAGGACAAGCAGCGAGACTCTTTATCAAATAGGCATTGTTAAGAGACCAGGGTGCAGATACTGTGAATGAGTCACACACTTTTGAGAATCCAGGAAGATTTGTCCCTTGCTCTGAGGCACCCTTAATGCCATTTATGTCTGCTGCATTCATACGTTTTATCCCACTCAATCCAATTGCTGATGTAAGTTATCCTAGAAAAATGTGCTTCCATCTTGGGTGAGAGAGTCAGTATGGTGCAGAGTTCAGTGTTTTACTCAGGACAGGGATGCCCAGGTTCAGATTCCAGGTCACCTGGTGACCTTGAGCCAGTCATGAACTCCCAGCCTACCTCACAGTGTTGTTGTAAGAATGAAATGGATGGCTAGAGAAGTATGTATGCCGCAATGAGCATTTTAGGCGGGGGGGGACAAAGAAAGCTTTAAATAATCCAAGGGAAAGTACAAGTATTGCTGGTTATTTTGGAAACAAACAAACGTAAGATTTATAATCTTCATCATTATCGTTATTATTTTTAGTAATATTTTAAGTGGATTTTTTTGTGATCATGAAACTAAATTTACTTTGTTCCCCAATTCATAGTAAATCAGTGTTGGCAAGTTCTCTCTCTTAGTCCACTACCAGCATATCTAATTTGACAGTGAAACCAAAATCATAGCACAAGCATGGTTCTGTTTTCCATTCACGTTGGTGCAGTATTCTTGGCATTCACAAAAGACCCAGGCACAGTGGGGAGAGGTTTTGTGCACTGAGAGCTAAAATAATTATGACACACATCCTGTCAACTCTTGGCATGTATTTATAGTCAGTGCATTTAGGCTTTTAAAAAATGTAGCTCCATAAAAGCACATGTAACTGGCTTCAGTGGGATGGCTTTATTTTGAAACGTAGGCTTTTGAATTAAAAAAAAAATGCAACAGAATGAGTAAAGTGTTTTAGCTGAAGATAATGCCTGGCATCTTTCTCATTCCCTGTCTTAGCACATGGGAGCTATTTTTCGTAAAACGTTTTTCTTTTGAGGCTTCCTTGAGTCACATGGCGATGAGATCACTGATTCCCAGCAACATTGCTTTGTCGGAAAGGATGAGGGAGACTTCTTCCCTAGTAATGCTGGGGTAGAAGTGATAAAAGCCTTGAACCAGAGATGAAACAGGAACAAATAGCATGCAATTACTAGGCAATTTATATTAACAGCTGCTTGTCGTCTTGCTCCTGGAAAGCAAGGCTGTGGGTGCTGGTTTTTGTAGTGTGGTTGCTGTGGATGAAATAGACTGCAAACCTTTAGGAGTATTGCAATACATTACTTCCATCAGAAACAAAAAGCTCACAGCTAATGCTGGTAACAGGTAGCCCATATGTACATACTAATAATAGCATCAGAGTTTAAAGTCTCTGGTCAATCTTTTCTTGTCTAAAGCACATGGAATAGCAGAAATATGAGATGATATAGAAACACACACACTCTGACCTCGGAGCATGGGAAGTCCGCCCAAAAATTTATAATTTGGCATAATATTTGGATTGTTTGATTACTGGATAATTTGAATAATTTGGAATGTTTAGTGTGGTTTGATTGGATTGTTAAAATGGAAAATTTAATAAATATCGTTTACAAAAAAAAAAAAAAAAGCACATGGAATAGCTTTACATCTTGGGCAAGCGTTCCAGTAGGCAAACTTGCATGGAAGCAAAGCCTGTTGACAGAAATGCTTAATGTTATAGTTTCTGGTTTCTGTAGTTGTAGCTCATAAGCAGCGAAATGCCCACATTTTGAGACAAAAGCTTCTTACTCGGTTTCTTACAAAATGTTTAGTCAGAGCTTCTAAGCAATGCAACACCCTCCTCTTTCTGATGGAATTTTTCTGGAGATGATGGAATGCGTTGGATGGGAGTTTGCTGATGTGGCTTGTATTAAATCACAAGTGTTTCTATTTTTATTTTGAATGTGGTGTAACCCAGTTTCTATGCTTGTCTTTCCCCTCTCTTTAGATGTGTGCAATAGTACAAATCTTCCCGAAGTTGAAATCATCAGTCTGCTTGAAGAGCAGCTACCACACTACAAGCTAAGAGCAGACACCATCTATGGTTATGACCACGACGACTGGCTTCATACACCGCTCCTTTCTCCTGATGCTAATATTGATTTAACAACAGAGCAAATAGAAGAGACACTGAAATACTTCCGTAAGTCCAAACGTATTCATTTGTCCTCAAATGCAATTGCCTGTAGAATTTATGAGTTGCCTTCTCCCAATATACCCCAAATTTCCTCAGTTTTAGCAGCTATTCTTGGATAAATAATGTAATATGTGGGATGGATCACATTGAAAACTGTCACTGGTACAATAGAAATCATGAGTGTGTATCTGTTCCTTCCGTGAAGCACTGTATAATATATGCAAGGCAGGTGGAAAACACAGTGGAAAAAATATACCACTCATGATAGCATTTCTGTTGTAGGCTGTTTGTGACATTTTAAACCCAGCTAAAAGCATTTGGAATGTAGCTTGCATATGTCAGTTTCCTTGAAGTGCATGACTTTCCTTTGGCTTGTAATACAGCGGCAAGCTAAGATGCTGAGGCTGCAGTCCTACAGGCAAGCTGCTTAACTCTAGTTGGGTCTGGTGGGAATGAAAAACAGCAGCATAGTTTGCTAACCTACAAGCCATCGCAACCCAGTTGGTGACCAAAAAGCAAATGGGAGTCAAACTTCAATTAAAACAAAAATTGGAGTGGCCTTGAAAAATCTCTCTTTTTAAAAAAATTTTTATTAAGTACAATTAGAAAATATACATATTTACAACAAAAGAAAATACAAAAGAAAAAGAAAATACATATAACCAAGGAAAAAAAATTAGAGAATATTTTGTCTCTTTTCATATTTACAGTTATTTATACCTCTGTAAAATGCTATTCACAATAAAGGAGTGAAATGAAAGATAAGATATCAGAAAAAAGAAAAAAAGAACAAAGAAAAAAATAAAGAAGTAAAAGAAAAAGATCATAGGTGAAAAATTTTAAAAGTAGATAAGTACTCACAATACATAGCTGTTTCCCATCTATATTTATATTTAATTGTATAATTTCATCTTGTCCTTATCTACCTTAAATAAAGTGTTTTTTTGACTCATTGA